TCACAGCTGTCAGAATACGTTTAAAATAGTTTTGGGTGGTTAAGGTTTTCAAAATGGGTAGAGGAAAGGTTATTAGTGAGAAAATTCGGTTACTCTGGGAAATTAAACTCAGAAATTGCAACTATCGCGGTACAGTGTGAGAAATATTGTTAGAAGATATAACGTAACTGGTTCAGTCAATATTAAGCCACGATATGTGAAAAAGAGTAATATCACAAATGCCGACCGAAGAGCATTAAGAAGAATAATCGTGAAAAACAGGCGTGCCAATTATATACAATTAAGTGCTCTGTGGACTGACGCTGTTGGAAGGAGAATTTCGAGGTCCACAACTCATAGAGATGCTCACAAACTGGGATTTAGCACTTGCAAGCTAAGTTTTCTTATAAAAAAAAGTGAAGTAAAAACCCTAAAGTTGCACAACTTGTTTATAGGCCAAAGAAAAGCCACTATTAACTACACTGCAAAATAAAAATCGGCTTAGATGGGCTAAAGAACATAGACTATGGACACCTCAACAATGGTGTGCAATATAATGGAGTGATGAGGCCCGATTCGACGTTTGTGTTGGTGACAGTCGCAGTAGAGTTATTCGCAAAAAAATTAAGCATTCCATGTCGACCGTCTGAAGAGAAAGTGAAATTTGCAGCATCTATTATGGTCTGGGGCAGTATGTCATCAAAAGGAGTAGGAAAACTTCATTTTATTGATGGAAATGTGGATACAAACAAATATTTGGCAATTTTAGAAGAATCGCTTTTACCAGTCATGGAAGAATGTTTGACATCCGGCCAAGATTTTGTGTTTCAAATTTGCACAGTCGGTAGAAAAAAAGTTAACTGTCAACTTCGAACCTCCATTTGTCACGTCAAAGTCATTCCTAGCATATTTTTCGTTGTGCCTGCTACCGTAAAAGAATTTGGTGTCGCAAATGGATCAGCGAGAGGAACCAGGGTATGGGTGTGCCCTATATGCTGAGTAAAGAATCTCTAGCGTAGGATCACCTGGCTTATAGACCCAATTGGTTCTAAAGTCATCCTTAGTTTATCCAACGCAGTTTATATTCCCGTTCTTATAGGTCTTGCTTTTTACAGAAAATAGACAATCATAGGTCCATGACATCTTTCAAGTTTTTCGATCTACAAATACAACAGCATAATCAGGGGAGTTTCACGAAACTGATGAACACAACTGATCACAACCACCGATGAAAGAGTTTGCGTTTAGGTTTGTTTCTGTCAACCAATTATCATCTCATCTAACCGTTGCAAAACAGCAAGAAAATATGAGGGAGTTAATACAAAACATGTAATTCTTTGCCACGTAGCGCTTCTAGCAGCCGCTGTACTGCTCCAAATGCGCAGTAGGCGTTTGCGCACCTTTGGCATGATATTATTTAAAAAAGGTTCTAAAAAAATTAGCACGCAATTTGTTCATACAAAATTATGTGCTGAATGCTGACAATCATTAACTTTGTATGAAATTTAGTGTACTAAATTTTGCACAAAATCTCGTAACGTGACAGATGGCCTTATGCTTGAAATGTATATTCTTTGCAATATGACCTTTGCTTGGCAATGGTTGCTATTAAAAGCAGCTTCTAGCTGACATCTACCAGGTAAAATAAGAACTATTTACTTTTATTATTATCATTATTAATTTGAAAAGTTTACAACTCACATCCATTTTGTTTACCAACACTTGGAAGAAATAATTGAACGAACGAACGAAAAAACGAAAGTCTTGGATATATCGATAAGTGCATCTAATAACACTGTGACAAACAACTTGTTAGGGAGCTTTTTCAGCCTTTGCGCAGCTTTAGCTAAACTTTTAATACAAAAATGTGGCGTAAAGTCTGTGCACCATTGTAAATTGATTAATATCGTTTTACAAACTTGAAGAAAAATTACACCAAAAAGCAAAAATTATGTTATTACGATGTGAGCAATTTTTTCTACTGTATAGTCATTGTAATAAATTGAGCAATGTTCCGTTATGGAACGTTACCAACTTCTGACGCTGTTCTTAATATAGTATATAAGTTTCCAATTGTTCCAAGGTGCAAAATTTGATCTTGTTATGGAGCTAGATCCTAATTCATATCAGTCAGTGATAGGGGAAGGGAAGCTGAATATTGGATGGGATAGATGTGGTATTTATGAGCATTTGTCAGTGACACGCTGTTTTAAGTATTGTCAGTATGGCCATATTCAAAAAATTGTAAAAATGCATTTGTATGCCCTATTTGTGCTGGCAGTCACGAACAGAAGCAGTGTAAAGGCAAATCGTCATGATGTACAAACTGTCTGTCTATTAATGAAAAACAAGATAAAATGGTAGATACGAACCATGCTGTGCGGAATAGTAATTGTCTGTGTTTGCAAAAACATGAGGGCCTTATACGAAGTAAGACAAATTACTTCGAATAGATAAGTGCATTTTATCTAATCTCTGTTTTAATTTTTACTTGAAGTTTATCCCATTTCAACTTCAACTTTATCTCAAACTTTTTAAAAAACTTTCCATTTTTTATCCTTTTATCTTTTTTTAATCTGTTTTTGTGTTTTTTTGCTGTATTTTTAAATGACTGTATTATCAGAATTTGATGTCATCGAAGGCGGAGAGCATAATCTGATCATAGGATGTGTAAATATTAGATCACTTACTAGCTGTTTTTGTGATTTTAAAGATTATGTCGTCGCCTTAGTAAGAAAACCGCGTAACTCCATTTTAGGAAATTTTACAGGAGAAGGAAAAAACGTTTTGTGAGAGTTACATCAGTGATAAAATATTTTTGAATTTTGCATAAATATAGAAAAACACATTAGATTTAACATTTCGGGTAAAAATATAGAAATTATGTGATTGTAATGATTTAAAAAGGAGTTACGCTACTTTCTTATGAAAAATTGTAAAATAATTGGAGATACATGGTTTTCACAAAAGAAAATAAATACTAGGTAACTACACAAAACTTGTTTTATATTAAACAGAATACGTATTTTGAATCCAGTAAAAAAATTCATAACGTTTAAACGAAAAAGTAATCTTACAAAAAAATCATAACGATTAAACGAAAAAGTAACTTTAAAAAACCTATTCATACGGAAGTTCTTCATAAAATTGATGATAATCTTGTAGAAGTCCTGATTTCAGAATTTGGAGGTGCTCATATTTCTCCTTCTTAATTTTTCTGCGTTCTGTGTATAAATATGGCAAATCGTCAAACTTGCACGGAACCATTTTTTTATTCATTCTTTGGTTTAATGTACACCAAGCATCTTTATGTCAGTGACAACGGGGTCGCCAGCGACCCTACTTGGACATATAGAAGTATACAATTTTATAGTATCCATTTTCTTAAAGAATGAATGAGTGAGATATTTGACATTATATGGAGATGGACTTGATTTTGCCTTCTGGCAGTAGTAAGCATAATCGGCGGGAAGGTTTATTTTCCGATTTCTAATTTGTATTTCAATGGTTACATGCACCGAGTCCCCCTCCATCTGAGTATGACCTTTGAACAAATACTTTTGAATTAACACGATTTTGTGCTGTGCAGGTAAGTTTACAAATGCGTTAGCCAATGTTGAGTTGCGGTTTTGACCCGTGCAACCATCACTAAAAAAAATCATTTCACGTAAACCTTCATTCTTTCTTATCTCGGGGGGACCTCGGTTGGCCGCGTGGGTCAGAGTGTCGTGCTACTGATCGCCGGCCGGCCGGGCCGCGAGTTCGAATCTCGCCTTCGCCATGGATGTTGTGTGTTTGTTTTAGGCAGCCGCGGTGGCCGCAGTAGTAGACTCTTCGGTCTCCTGATCAGTCGCCGTGCGCTGTGCGGGTTCGAGTCCCGTCCCAGGAGAAATTTTTCTCTTGGCTATGGATGTTGTGATTGTCCGTAGGTGGTAGATGGTCTCTGACTGTCGAACGCGCAGGTACCACCCGGCGGTTCTCGTAGGCGGAGCCAGAATGTGTGCATGTTGCATGCACACGTGTCCCCTCGTCAGAGTCCGTGTGGCGTCCCCCCTTTCCCATGTATCCCCCTATAGCCCCACGGTACCCAATGGGTGCTTAGGCCTTAGGCCTTCGTGGTAGTTGGAGTATAAAAAAAAATCTCTTGTTCAACAAAAACAGAAATTATGCTGGAAAATTCGTTTGCAGTCGAGGCCCCTTCGCTTTCAATCCACAGGGAACAAAATGCTTCTTTGGATTTCAGGTGATAGATAGTGAAGTTGTGTACTACCAGTTTGGTTTTGTAGTACATTGCAGCGACTGTCGATTTGGAAGCTAACAACACGCTTTGTAAATCCATTGGATACACGTTTACTGTAACATCGCTGGTAGATTTGTCTTTTTCCTTTTCTTGACGTGCCTCTAGCTTTGAAGTTTGGTGTAGGTTATACTTATCTTCAGATAAGTTCTCCGTTTTGTATGCCTCGCACACGTCGTACAGATCTTTTTTGGGTTCAGCTCTCCAAATATCTTCATGAACGCTGCTATGGATGGAGGCTCTAGATTACGTTCGCAGCAATATTCACTTTTGAAAAAATTATAGAGTGCTACATATGAACGCCAAAGTGGCTCAAGATATAATTTTTTCGAGGAAGATCTACAATAATGGCTTTCCATTTTTGGTAATGATTGTAAAAACTGATACACAGCCGTATTTTTTTCCACAAATTTCGCACTTCTTGTTTCACTTTTTCTGCTTCCCTGGTGGTCATCAGGCTCGCTATTAAATTCTTTTATCCAAGACAATATCAGTGTTTCTTTTAAACCTAGTGTACTACCAAACATCCGCTTACACACTCTAATTCTTTCCAAATCCACTTGTAAAAAATATTTCATAGAATACTTTCTTTTAGACACTTCAAGTTCTCCTCTCCTTCTTTTAACATTGTCGCAATGCACTAGAGCCTGTACCTGCAATTTTCTTTCATTCCAAGTCATTGTATTCCAAAACTTTTGGAAAATTTTTAAACGGTTTTCTTCCGTCATTTTTTGACACTGAATTGCAGATTTTTGTCTACTAAGAGAACAGATGCACGGATTTTCCAAGAACTTCCCTAAAACAAAAAAAAATATTTTTTTATGTTTTTTGTTGCATAACACTATGTACATACCTGGTTTGTTAATGTTGTAATTCCATGTACCGGTAATTTCTGTTTTACCTTGGTAAGGCTGACCTCTTAGACGTTAATATTTATTGATATTGTAGTTCCATGATTCAGACAATTTTCTCTTCACTTCGAGTTCTTGTAGTATTTAGGCTGGTATCGGGATCGTTTCTTTCTTCGTTGTAATTGGGATTATCTTCATTGGCAGAGTTACTACTATCAGAATCGTTTTTCTCAGGAATGTAAGAAACATCCAAGTCATCGACGGCGCCGTCGTCGTGTTCAGAAGAAGTATTCGTGATAGTATTATTGGTGTTATCTCTTCGTTTTGCTCCGTTCCTAGAATCTCTGGATTGTCCAGTTCATTGTTCATGCTAATGGCATCATTTAAATCGGTCTGCAAGTCAAAGTCGGTCGAAATACTAGCATCTTTTAAGTCTGTCGGCACTTCTAAATGGTTAAAACTGGTCGAGTTATCATTGTTTATGCTAGCAGAATCGTTTAAGTCTACCGGAAATTCTATATGATCAAAACTGTTTAAAATCTTCGATGGCGGAACCTCATTACTATTTACAAGAGTTTCAGTTATTTTACTAGATGGTTGTGCGTGAATAGGAGACAAAATTCCATCTTTTTCAACCTCGTATTCAACAATATCCACACAAGACTGGCTTGCTTGTTGGTTACTCAACTTCATTATAAGTTTTGTGCGAGACGACATCCTAAAATTAAAAGTAACTAATGTAACTAGGTATCGTTTTTGTTCTGAGGCGTTATTTCTAATTTAACCGACTTTTTGTAACAAATTTACTCATCAGACTTTAAATTAAAAAATAACTAGGATTAAGAAGTTATACGAAAAAAGAACGGAAAAACGCGTAAGTACATAATAAACACATTTAATTGAAGTTGGAAAAGCGCGTATGACCATAGCCAGTAAAAAAGTTATAATTGAAACAAATATAATACATCTTTTAAATCAATTAAACTCTTAAAAGTACCATAACAACCTTATCTTTATATTAAATTAGTTTTTTTACTTCAAAACGTATTGATTTTTTTTCACTAAACTTTCACCAAACTTGCAAGCACCTGCATACACGCTGGAACTATGCGAAAACTGGGAGTTACGCGGTTTTCTTACTAAGGCGACGATGTGTTGCCGCAAAATTTTGATATCATCGGATTCACCGAAACGTGGCTTAAACCACACATCATTGATAATGATATCCATGTTCCAAGACTTCAGTTGTTTAGATGTGACAGGAAAGATACGAGAGGCGGTGGAGTCGCTCCCTATGTGAGAAAAGGACTGCATTGCTTCCAAGTATCTGATTTTAACTTTGTAACACAAGAGGGCCTTGAACAACTTAGGGTTAGGGTTAAAATAAACAAAAAAGCATTTGCTGTGGGTGTTGCGTACAAACCTCCCAATGTTAATTATACAGCTTTGACAGGCCTGGAAGACTCACTACTTACTGTTTTCACATCATCTGATCATATAGTATGCATGGGTGATCTAAATATAAATGTTTTGAATAAACAATGCCTGGACTATTCATTCATGTCAACAATTTTCGAGGATTTCAATTTGAATCAAATAGTAAGTCAGGAAACAAGAGTAACAGATAACAGCAGAAGTCTGATAGATGTGGTATTCGTAGATAAAAACTTAAACATCACAAAAATCGGAGCTGTAAATCTACCTTTCACGGATCATTATTTGGTATACTTTTGTACAGATTATCCAGCCAGCTTCTACAGACAAACATATATACGTATCCACGATTTAAGGAATTTAGATACTAACTTACTTGCTGAGGTAGCTTCATCAATGTACTGGTTAGGAGTTATCAACTTCGAAGATCCTGAATCCAAGCTAAGCTACTTGTATGATTTGATCAATATTTTGCTAGACATATGCGCGCCCGTTAAAATAGTAAAAGTAACAAAGCCACGCTATTCTTGGATCACCCAAAACATTAAGTTCATGATGAGATTGAGAAACAATGCATATATGAAATATAAAAAAGGGGTAAGGGATGCTCTTTCTGCAGATTTGATCAATGTCAAATGGGTTTATTATAAACAACTCAGAAATTTTGTAACAGCTTCCATAAGAAGAGAAAAAAAGCCTATATAGAACTGCAGCTTAAAGAAAGTAGAAGTTCCCGTGATTAGTGGCGAACCATCAAACAACTATACTCTAGGCGCTGAAGAAAGAAACTAAACCCAAACAAATACACGCATATTGCTCGTGAGTGAGTGTTTAGGCGCAGGAGACATTACAGGACCGCATCAAGATATTATGGGTAGTCATCAAAAATTTCATACAAGATAATTATTATCTTTTACAGTAAATTTCAGTTAGAGATTAACTACACTTTTTAGTTATTAGTAAGTAAGCTGCGCGCACTCATTCAGAAGAGGAACTTGAATCTTCTGAATCGTTTAAATGAATTATTAGAGGTTCAATTTGGGTATCGATGACATTGTCCAAATCCCACATTTTGACCTCAACCTTCTCCCGAACGTGGCGGATACAGTTTTTCCATTCCTCTGCCGTAACTCTATTGACTGCGATGTGAAAGAGATTTTTAACATCAGAAAATTTATAAGTATTATTATTCGACGCCACGTATTGCTTTATGTTGGCCCAAATCAGCTCAATAGGGTTCAGCTCACAATGGTAGGGTGGCAGTCTCAAGACAGTTTTATTTTGTTTTTTGGCCATTTCGTCGATCATTTTAAAATCGTATTTGTATTTATGTCTATTGACTATACTTATCAATTCACCCTTGAACATTGTTTCATCAAAATCGATCTGTTTTGAGGCCAGCCATTGTTGTATGTTTGCTTTTTTAGTTGCCATTGTGGGAATTTTTTCTATTTTTCTAGAATGGTACGGGGCATTATCCAGTACAATAACAGCGTTATTCTCCAGCTTTAGTAACATTTTGGAGAACCAATTTTCAAAGGAATTGCCGTCCATCTCCTCATGATAGTCCCCTGTCTTTTTTGATTCAAAGGCCCACAGTGCTTCGGGAACAAAGCCGTCTTCACTACCTACGTGACAAATGATCAGCCGTTTGCCTTTTCCTGGAAATAAATTATTCCTTACACTATGGATTGATTAAATTTGAAGGAATGAGGCAATTGAGTTCATTTAGCTGAATTTAAGAGTCACGGAATGCTGATCAAAAACTGAAAAACGTAGAAAATTGAAGTTTGCAACTTCTCAAAACCCATTCAAAGCAAATTGACTGCACCCAAAGATGATAATAAATTTCAAAATAACGCTTAAAAGAGGGTCGAAGTTTTTTTCCTAATGACTACACTGCGAATGCACCATTTTTGGAGAATATCACACATTATCTGCTATCACAGCATATTATTTGCCCGAATTTATCAAAATTAAATTGCCGGATAGATGAAGGAGCTTACCTGCAGGATTTTTCAATCCAGCCGAAAGACCGTCTAGAAAAGCCTGCCTTGATGATGTTACTGATTTGTCGACCCAAACTTTCGCTTGAGTATGTCCAGCATTCACCCACGTTTCGTCCAAATAGTAAATTTTTCTTTTTTCATCGCGAAACTTCCGAATCTTCCTAAGGTATTCCCTTCTCCACACAACAATTTCTTCTTTCTCTATTAACATACTGTTTCTTCCCCGTTTCAAGAATCGAAAATTAAGTTCCTTCAAAAGTTTTCGGAATGTGGTTCTTTTAAATGATGGAAGATCCTCATCAGCATTAACTAATCTTAATATCTTATCTACTGTAGGTATCTCATTTCGGAAGAAAAAATTATGCACTTTCCTCCTGATGGCAGTTCTGTCAAAGTCATCTACTCCGTCCGTTATCCTTTTTCTTGCAGGATACGGTTTTGGCTCAGAAAGTGAGTGAGTGCTCCTATATTCCTTAATGATCCTATAAACACTGGACCGACATACTCCAGAAATATGTGCTACCTTACATATAACTTCGTCCACGACCAAATCGGGTTTTTCTTGAATTTGGTTTTTGTATATATTTAATATTATTTGTTTTTCATTTGCACTTAAATGTAGCTTCTTAGCCCTTTTTTTGGGTGGGGTTGCGCTGATGTCAACCACTTCGTCGGCTGTATCTGTGTCAGACATCGTATCTTAGGCAATATATAAACAAAACGTTCCACTCGCGAAAAACGAGTATACGCTACTGAATGCGTAATGCGTATGCAATGCAATCCTGTGCGTGAATTAACTGTTAGATGCCTGTCGTGTCATCTACAATCACGTTTACAAGTCCAAACCTGTGCAGATTCGTAGAGCGCCGACGACTGCTAGTGACCTTGAATTTGTCTGTAGATCGATGTTACTCCAGTCAATTTAGGTTCAAAGTGGATGTTTTCTAAACCAATTTGTTGTTCCTACATCAAAAATATATCGATGATGTTTTGTACTGGGAGCTCATGAAAGATCAAGGTAACTTATTTTAACAGTCATCCTTTTTCTAGTCTCAAGATGACACGAAAAAGGGTCTGTGGATTCACTAGAAATACACTGCCGATGTTGTTTAGACCTAAAGTGACTGGAGTATATCCGTGGATGCTTTCGAGGGATCTGTTCACGTGCTGATCACTGTTTACGTTTAATGTTTTTCTTCTGCGCCCAGAGTTTAGGTATAAATAATCGTGTTAAAGATACTTTAGAATGCACATTGCAACCTGATTTAGTGAATAAATATTTCCTAAATTCCATTCCAGATAATTGTGTGGATACCAGTATTATTCATCATTACAATAGCAATGTTTTGCCATCTATAGACAACTTGTTTCAGTTAAAGCCGGTCACGGAGGATAAAATATTACAGATTTTCAATAAAATAAAATCTCGGGCAGTTGCACTAGATGGTTTGAATATAAATATGTTAGCTCTAGTGTTTTCTTTTTGTTCTAAAGCGATTACTCGTATAATTAACTATTCGCTTGAAAAAGGATTAGATCCTAAAATTTGGAAAGCCGCATGCATTAGGCCTCTTGCTAAAATTGATACTCCGGAAGGACCTGATGATTATAGACCAATTAGTATCTTTCCAGTGCTATCAAACCTATTAGAAAAAATTGTATATGAGCAATTGATGCAGCACGTCATTACCTTTAAGATAATTCCATCTACGCAGTCAGGGGGTCTCGAAAAAACCACGGCACCGTAACAACTCTGCTCGATGTCTGTGACGACTTCATAGGGGCAATAGATAATTCTAAAGTTACTACTGCTGTCATGATAGATCTTAGTAAGGCCTTTGATTGCCTCAACCATGAACTACTTTTTGCAAAATTTCATTATCTTGGCTTCTCCGATAGTTCGATTAATTGGTTTCGCAGTTATTT